AAAAAAAAAAAAAAAGAACCTACCACTCTGTCTTGGCACCCATAGCACAGTGGTTGGTTATGGCACTGGCCACATGCACCGAGGCTGGCGGGTTTGAACCCAGCCTGGGCCAGCTAAACAACAATGACACCTGCAACAAAAAATACCTGGGTGTTATGGCGGGCACCTGTACTCCCAGCTACTTGGGAGGCTGAGGCAGGAGAATCTCTTAAGCCCAAGAGTTTGAGGTTGCTGTGAGCTTGACCCCACAGCACTCTATGAGGGCAACATAGTAAGACTTTGTCTCCAAAAAAAAAAAAATTTACCACTCCTCTCAAGGCCTCACTCACAGTGTGACCAGGGCAGCCCACTGCTCCCAGGGGAGCCTAGGGTACTCTGGTCTGAGCCTGGTAGGCCAAAGGTGGCCTGTTGGGACTGTCTGAGGGTAGCTAGACCCCATAATCATCTGCAGATGCCCATGGAGCTCTCTCTGGGGACCCAGCCTCAGCACACTGAGTTAATCAACACCAGAACTCTCTTGGGAGGCTGGTGGAATGCCACTCTCATCAGCTTGGATCCAAGTATTGCTGACCCCCGTCTCCTTGCCACCAGTTCAGCATAATGAGCCCACCTTTTCATTAACTGAATCTTCCAGGCTGAAAAACAGAATCTCTGTGTCTGTGAAGCTTATACACTAGTGGGGGAGGCAGACAACAAATAGGCTGGTAAGATAAATCGTGTTGGCAGCAGGGTGTGACAGGGCCTTGCCTAGATAGGGCAGGTGGGTACTGGCAGTAAAAGGTGCCTCATACACATTACCCTTCTCAACGTGGCCTTAGCATTACCCAGAGCTAATGAGCTGAGCAAAGGCCCTCCCCCGGGATTCTTGCCCCCACTGGGGCTGAGTGTCCCTTGGCTGGGTGTCCATAACTTGGGCCAGTTCTATGTGACCTCAGGCTCAATCACCTGGGAAGGCTGCAAAATGCCCAACACCATGACTCCCTTGTAGAGGCTGAGATGAACATTTAGAGATAGGGCTCCTCAAGATGTGCTTTGTTGTTAGCCAGTGGTTGTCAAGTGGGGTCTGAACACGGCAGTTAGTGCAGTCACTCTGCACTCTGCCTTGTCTGGGACAAACTGCCGGGTCCTCGCCCCATAATTCATCCAATCCTATGATGTCTTCAAAGGCACATCACAGCCATTCTTAGCCATTTACCTTTGGCGGGTTGAGCAGGAGCTGGTGGAAATCCTTCAACCGTGGCTCGATGCCCTGCAGTACACTGCTGCTGACAACATGCGGCCTCTCCAGTCCCTGAGAAAAGGTGTCTACCAGGCCCTCTGTCCTGTGGGGAAGGAGAGCAGATGGAGGTGGGAGGAACATACAGGCCACACCACATTCACCAGCCAAGGTTCCGACTCATCGTCTTCCTCCAAAAAAAGTTCTTCTTAATTTTCCCAAAAAGAAATCCCAACAGAGAGATAACTTAGGGTCTCTAGGTGATTTGATGATTGTCAGAGAGAAAAGAAAGGTACCAAAGTCCTTTAGGAAAATACTTCCAGGTGACATTCGAGGAGGCAGAGCCAGGGTAAGTGACCGGGACTCCGCCCTGGGCCTTTTGGCCCCTAAGGGGTTCCTCCCTGTTGTCCCCAGCAAACTGCTGAGAAACAGCAGATAGGACCAGCCACACTGTCCCTCTGGCTTTTTTTTTTTT